GGGACATGAAGCACCCCATGCCCCAGGCTGGTGTTTTACAGCACTGCAGTGGGACTGTAATGGGGAATGGCTGGCTTTTGGGATGCTGCAGCCACACCCCTGTCCATCCCCACTGCACTCCCCTTTGAGGGGATTAACCAGGGGGAACCTGTGCAGCAGAACTTGCATCGGGGTGTCCCAAACCCAGGCACAGGCACCTCCTTCCCTCTCCTCCTCCTCCTCCTCTCAAGACACCATGACAAAGAAGCCTTGAGCACAACATAACAATTCCTCTTATCTTTGGCACCAGTTTCTGGAAAATTCCTATTTTCTAGTTCTTCCCTCCTAGGGGAGCACCACACATAACTGTACACAGGATACCTCCCTGCCCACACTGATGGCTGAACACTGTGGGACTGGCAAAGGGAGAGAAACTCAATTAAGCTCAACAGGAAGTTGGTTTAAATGCTCTCACAGTAACAAACCCCATCAGTTTGAGACTTTGAACCATCCTGTGCTGCATTTCCACTGCCCCAGGCACTGCAGGAGCGTGACCCAAGGCTGAGCCTATGGCCTTTGCAGCACCAGTATTAATAAGCAAATCTATTTCCCTGAGCTCTGCAAAGTTTGTGGAAATATTTGTTTTCCTCACCTCTCACCATATACAAAGGTTTTAATAAGCTTTAACAAACATACAAGCAAACAAACCCTTAATTAAAATAAATAATTTAAATTTCTAACCTGAAGGCTTCTATGAAACTTCGACAGTCCCCAAGCACTCAGGTGATGATGGGAGAAAATGTAACTGGGATAAAGGACAGTGCAGAACATCCCACCACAGTGTGGAGGACCAGGGGGATGCTGCAATTTCCTCTCCCCTAGTTAGGAGTGCATTTTGTCTTTTTTTTGGGTATAATTTTTGCTGTAAACACACCTTGCATGCAACTGTTCCTCTGCAGGTTCTTCAAACAGTGGGTCACACGTTTTGAGTGATGATTTTATTCTTTTATTCAACTGTCATTGGTACTGGTTATTTGGGGTGTCCAAACCAAAATATTAAAATTGCAAGCTAAGAGAGCAGCAACACAGCAGATCCTTTGTAAACAATTTATTATTATTTTCTACCTCAGTTACTTACAGGAAAAAAAAGTCATAAAAAAGAAAAAAAAGGAAAAAAAAGAAAAAAAAAAAAAAGAAAAGCACAGATGGACTATTTACAAAAAATGAGAAAATTCACAATAGCTGAAATGTTTGCAAATCATGCACACTAAGACAAGTTCACAAAAGCAAAGCAATTCATAGCAAAAAACCCCAAACAAAATAATAAGAAGCCATACAGATTAAAAAAAGCTATTGCCTGCAGAAAAGTCAAAAGAAAACTACCCAAGTATTACATCAAGCATCTTTAATGAAATGAACAGCACAGCCATGGATTGTAGAGCCTTTGACACTGACATTTTAAACAAGTGGATTAACAAACATTAAAATGCATTACAGTTCTACTGTAAGCATGCACCATACTTCTCACAAACTTATCCAATGGGTAGCAACACTTCAGGAAGAGCAGAATTTAAAGAGAATGGTGTTTTCTACCCAGAAGTCCAGAATCTGGTCCTGTTAAACAAAGCCAATGGAGGGAGGCGTGCAGCTCTCCGGCCACGTGCGTGGGGATGAGGAGGCGCAGGGCGATGCAGCTGAAGCAGGGAAAGCTTGGCCACAATTTAGGAAATTTGCCCATGATTTGCAAGCAAAGTTTGGAAGGAGAAGCAGCTGCAGGGAGTGTGCAGGACCATCGCTGGTCAGAGTTAGATCAAAGAATCAGAGAAACCCAGACTGGGTTGGGTTGGAAGGGACCTCAAAGCTCACCCAGTGCCAGGGTGCCATGGCAGGGACAGCTCCCACTGGCCCAGGCCCTGCTCTGGGGCAGGAACTGCTGTGGGGGCAGCAGCAGCCCCGAGCCCCTCTCACATGGCCCTGCTGTGGTGGGGCAGCTCCCAAAGAGCCCCAGGCCAATGGGGCAGGTGTGGGGCTGTGACACACAGAGGGGTGGCACAGCTGGGGACCACAGCCCTGCCAGGGACAGGGGACGCCCCTCGGCGTGGGGTTTGTGCCACTGCTGGATGTCACCACGTTAAAGAGCACCAGCCACTCTCTCTGGGGCTGTCTGTGAGACCAAATCAACCCAATCGTCCTCCTTGCTGTGTCAATAAAATGATTTCTAAGAAGTTTGTGAGAAGTCATGCCTTCGGAACGCCCCTGACCCCGTCCTTGTGAGTTACATTCCAAGTGGGCATTAAAAACTCATAACAAAGCAGAGGAAAAAAAAATAAAAAAAATAAAAAGCAAACTCAAAGCAGTGAGGATATGGAGCCTTTAAAAAAATAAAAATAAAATAAAAAGTCCAGTCAATCAAACCAGCCAGTAAGAGCAGCAATTTTTCAGTGGACATTGATATTAAACATGGACCACCCAGGCTTTCTCTGTCTCTCTCTCATTAGCACTGTAGTAAACCCCGATTAATTTGTTATGCATCTTTAAGAACTAGTTGATAAAAATTATGTCTTGTGAAATCGGCAAATAGTCTGCAAAGTGAAATAAGAACAGAAATTAATAGATTAAACTGAAAAGATAAGTCCCAGAAATAAAAAAAAAAAAAAAAAAAAAAAAAAAAAAAAAAAAAAAGAAGATACACAGAAAGGGGATGATTGCAATTAAAATAAAAAATAAAAGAGGCAATGTACTGCACGAGGAAGGGCTGGGAGGAGCAATGGGATAGGAGGAGATAGAGCAGTTGCCAAAGGGGTGTGTGCCTTGTCCCTGGGCCAGGGGCTGTCCCATTCCATGGGAGAGGACATGGGACAGCCCCTGAGGGACAGGGACAAGGCAATGGGAATGCAAACAGGTGGGTCATGGCAGAGCTCCTGGGAGCAGCCCAGAGTGTGGCTGAACATTTTCCTGTGTATTTGTACTGGGCCTGCACCACCAGGGCAGGAGGCAGGGGAAGCTCTCGGAGCCAGGATGCTCCTGCAGAAACAGCCAAGTCCTTCTCCTTCCAAATCACAACACTGAGGTTTAAACCTGACACCTCCCTCCTGCCCTGCTCCTGAGAGGCTCCCTGGTGCCAGGCTGTGCCCTGTGGCACTGGGCTCTCTGCCCCACACACTGCAGCAGCAGGGACAGCCCATCCTGCCCCATCCCCAGCACCGGGGACAGCCCATCCTGCTGCTGCACCATTCCCCACCCCACACCTCCAGCCAACGGGCTGTGATTGTGCAGACCTGAGCCCAAACCACCTGAGAAACTCCCAACAACTCTGGACAGCTTCTGCCTGCTGCTAAGGAGGAACTGATCCAGTTGGGAGGGGAGCAGAGGAGCTCAGCAAGGTGAGACAGGGCCCTGAGCATCTCCTGCTCTCCTGCACTGACCCACAGCTTTCTGTGGGGACAACACACCTGGATTTATCTTCCATATTCAATCTCTGCAGGAGATTGAAAATAACCAGGCAGTAACTGGAACTCCTGCTTTGGTAAAAACAGGCCCTGAACAAAAATACATCTAAGGAGGGGTCAAGCCAAAGGGTGCCTTTGCTGTCAGTGAGCAAACATGGTCGCTTTAGACATGTTTGTAATTAAACTCATCTAACCTCTGCAGATTTCTGACATTAAACCTATCAAAGGAGTCTCTCCTTCAGTGCCTCTGTATGAATCAGCTGGTCCATGGAACTGTGAGCAGGCAGAGCCTGACACAACACACAAACACCTGCTGAAGCCTCCTCTCACCCCCAGCTCCTGCCAGACCAGACTGTCCCGTTGGTTCCAGAGGAACCAGAGCTGGTGTCACCTGCACCTGGGGACAGCTGCCTTGTCCCCACCAGCCCTGTTGCCACCCCAGCAGCTCTGCTGAATGCCTGACACCCCAGCTGTTTCAGTCCAAGATGTACCACAGGTGGGAAGAGGTGGCTCAGCTTCCAGACGAGCCCTGGCATTTGTGAATTCAAATAAACAAACCCTCACAGGGCTGTTCCCCTCGGTGTTAGCAGTCCTGCAAGAAACAGCCGCACCATAACCCCATCCCAAGGACACTGCTCACCCTACAGATGACAACAATCTGCATTTTTCCACAGCAGGGTCTCATCCTGATGACCCAGGGCTGCACACACGTTTGCCCCAGGTGCAGCCTGCACTGTCCACATGCTCAGGCACCCTAGGGACCCTTCCTGTGAGCTGCTGGATTCCCTCCCTGCTCAGCCACAAACACCAAAGCTGCCTGGGAGAGCCCTGGGGTGAAAGGAACCCCCGAGCCCTGTGCGGAGCCAGCCCACTGCAGGATGTGCTGGAAGGGCACATCTGATTCTGGATGGGTTTGTGGGATGCCCCATCCCTGAAGTGCTCAAGGCCAGGCTGGATAGGGCTCTCAGCAGCCTGACCCAGTGGAAGCTGCCCCTGCTCACTGCAGGGCTGGACCTCTGGGGGTCCCTTCCAGCCCAAACCATCCTGCCTGTGCTTCCATCACCTGAATCCCCCCGAGGCGAGGGCAGGGGGATCTGAACCAGCCCCACACACCTGCTCCTGGGAGGGAGAGACCCCCAGCCCCAGCAGGGTGGGCTGTGCACTCAGCAGTGCACGTTCACTTACCCCAGCCAGCACTGTGCAGGTCCCTGTGTGCATGTGCATGTCTGTGTGCAGCTCTAGGAAGGAAAAACCCAGCAAAGGGAGGGGGACAGCTCTCTCCAGTGATCTCTCTTGCTTTTATGCTTTTAATTTAAGAAGTTTGTTTTCAAATAACCAGTACCAATTTATACATCAGGAAAAAAAAAAGTGTTGAAAATATGTCGCTATAAAAGTCTATTTTAAAATAGTAAAAAAAAAATAAAAATTGCTGTTGTGTGAGATGCTCCCTGCAGACTTGCCTGTCTCAGCTTGCAGCTACAGACTTAATAAAAAAAGGAAAAAAACCCAAAAAAACGAAAAAAAGAAGGAAAGAGGGGAAATAAAGCATATCTGCAAATGAAATGTACATACCTGGGAACTGATAACTGTAACTTGGGGCAAATCCAGGATATCCTCGGCCATATGTTGCAACAAAATTCGGGTAACCTTGATCACAGACACGTGAAAAAAACCAGGAAAAAAAAAGAGAGAAGTTTGAGGATTAATGAAGGGGTTTTTTTGAAGGCTTTTTTTTGTTTGTTTGTTTTTTAACACAATGCACAATGACAGGGAGGATGGGTGAGACCCAATTTTACGGAGGGTATTAAAAAATCCGATTTATTCTGCTCATGCCAAACTGCAGAGAGGTTTCATCATTATCCTGAAGAGAAACATCTCGAGCTGGCCCAGCTCCGAGCAGGAGCCCTGTCACTCTGGTAATTAACATGCACTTTGGTGTCTGCAGCCCAAGGACTGTGCATACTTGTTAGCTGCAAGAGTAAATGCCAAATGCTAAGGCTAAACACATAACACGGGTTTGCTCTGACATTTGGAGAGCTTACAATGAATGTACTTTGCTTCAGAGCTATTGACAGTTGGAGATTAAGGTAGTAGTAATTCTTTATCCCGGGAGTGTGAAGGACAACAGTTAACACATCAAAGACTTGGAGGCAGCAGAAACGAGCCAGGGAGTCAAAGAGCTTTTAATTTTTCAGGAAAGTAAAAGGAAGCTGCCCGAGGTGCTTCTGAAGGCCCCTTCTGAGGCAGAGCACCGACCTCGGGCAGCTCGGGGAGGTTTATTAGGGGAAAAGCTCACTGGAGAGCATTTCGTGAATAGAACAGCGAAGGCACAAAGTAGCAGCTCTGCTGGCTTCACTCTCCTGCCTGTGAC